TGTTTGCTAGAGAGTCCTGTGTTGTTATGCTGTTACTATGATGTTTTGGTTGGTTGCCAGGGTGATATGTCTGGTTGCTAGAGGGTTGTATGCATGTTGCATTTCCATGCTAGGATGTTTTGGATGGTGCCCAGGGTGTTGCTATGTGTTTACTAGGGTGTCCTGTGTGGTTGCTAGGGTGTTCCTATGCTGTTACTGGGATGTTTCGACTGGTTGCCAGGGTGATATGTTTGGTTGCTAGGGGTTGCATGCATGTTGCATTTCCATGCTGTTGCTAGGATGTTTTGGGTTGTAGCCAGGGTGTTGCTATTTGTTTGCTAGAGTGTTCTGGGTGGTTGCCAGAGTATTGCTATGCTGTTACTAGGATGTTTTGGTTGGTTGACAGGGGGGTGCATACTGTACATTTTGCATTTCTGTGTTGTTGCTTGGATGTTTTGGATGGTTGCCAGGGTGTTGCTGTGTGGTTGCCCAAGCGTTCTGAATGGGTGTTAGCATGTTTCTATGTGGTAACTGGGGTGTTCAGCTTTGTTGCCAGGGTGTTGCTAAGTGGTTGCTATGGTACTCCTATGTTCTATTTAGTGGTAGCTAAGGCAATGTTTTTAGCATGTTAAAACAATTTATTAAGCCACATTACATACTTTTTGTATAGATTTGAGCTCATTAACATATGACCGCCCACATTTATATATCATCACCTATTAGAGGTAAATATTCACAGAGAATATTTAAACTGTGCCTTTAAACAAAGTTTGGTCAATCATAACAGGTTGTTTATTTCTTTTAAACAAACAGCCCATTTAAGGGAGTGGAAAATTGTCATAAAAAACTAAATTATGACAATTTGTGATGCCAGAAACCTTGACTAACATTATAAGTGGAAAAAATTGAAGTGCCACTGCCACTCTCGGTGAACTCCACATCAGGCCTATTGATGTTTACACACCACATTCTCCTCTGGATCTTCTGTTTTCCACACACACACACACTTTGATCTGTCACATCTAACAAGTATCCAGAGGTGTGCGCCATCTGGAGATACAATCTACATCAGATTTTGCAGAGCTTGTGTTTCCTCAAACCTCATACTTCTCATGCATATCAGAAAGATGCGCTTGTGTTATTTCATAAAGGAGCTATAGCTTTAAATTATATATTTATTATTGCCTATATTTTGAATATCATATTGCTATACTACTACTCATGCTACTTCAGCAGTATATGCATAGTATGGACATTTTTAGTATGCATAGAATGACCTTCTATATTTGCTGAAATGTGCACTGAAATGACTTAGTGTACTGCACTATAATAGTCTGAAACCATCTGAAATGATCAGTATCTGAGGGTAACAGTATTACATGTAGCACACTTTAGATTTAGAGAACATGATTAAATAAATATTTGTATTCTATCTGCTGCATACATCCATAAATACTTTCCCTCCTGTTAGTCCTGTTCTCCCAAACACACCCACGTACATTACACACACTTTACATAATACCCACGAGCCCCTCTGTTCTGGGCAGCTGTGGAGGACGAGGGCTGGAAACGTCTCCGAAGGACACACGTACCATTAGACATCAGACCACAATGCAGATACCAAATCATGAACTAGACTTTGACATTTTTTGAAGAAAATGTCACTGGTGTTCATGCAAAACTTGCGAGGGCGTTGCTGAATTATTCTTTTCTGTATAGTGCACTTCTATGCTGTTGCTAGGATGTTTTTCTGTGGTTGCTGGTATGCAGTTGCTAGGATGATTTGGGTTGTCGCCAGGGTGTTGCTATACAGTTATTGGGATGTTTTAGGTTGTCGCCATGGTGTTGCTATACAGCTGATATTTTGGGTTGTTGCCAAGGTGTTGCTATGCAGTTACTAGGATATTTTGGGTTGTCGCCAGTATGTTGCTATGCAGTTGATGTTTTGGATTGTCGCCAGGGTGTTGCTATACAGTTACTAGAATGTTTTGGGTTGTCACCAGAGTGTTGCTATAGTTACCAGAATGTTTTGGATTGTCGCCCGGTTGTTGCTATACAGTTGTTAGAATGTTTGTGTTGTCACCAGAGTGTCCCTATACAGTAGGATGTTTTGGGTTGTCGACAAGGTGTTTCTATACAGTTGCTAGAATGTTTTGGGTTATCACCAGGGTTTTGCTACACAGTTACAGTACTAGGATGTTTGAGCTGTCACCAAGGTGTTGCTATACAGTTACTAGGATGTTTGAGCTGTCATCAGAGTGTTCCTATACAGTAGGATGATTTGGGTTGTCGCCAAGGTGTTTCTATACAGTTGCTAGGATATTTTGGATTGTCGCCAGGGTGTTGCTATACAGTTACTAGATGTTTTGGGTTGTTGCCAGGGTGTTGCTATACAGTTGCTAGAATGTTTTGGGTTATCACCAGGGTTTTGCTATACAGTTGCTAGAATATTTTGGGTTGTCGCCAGGGTGTTGCTACACAGTTATATTTGAGATGGTTACCAGAGTGTTGCTATATGGTTGCTTAGGTGTTCTGAGCAATTGTTAGCATGTTGTTGTGTGGTTGCTCTGGTGCTCTAGGTGGTTGCTAAGGTGTTGCTAAGGTGTTCTGAGTGTTTTGTATCACACTTATCATGTGGTTTGTGTATTCTGAGTAGTTGCTTGGCATGTTGTGAAGTTGCTAAGGTGTTGTGCATGTTCCCTAGCATTACTGTTTTTGTGTAGTTTTTTTAAGCTCAACTGTACATACAGTGATTTTTTTCACTAACCTATATTCAGCTGCAGAGGCTTGACGGGTAGTTTTACTCCACAGAACGCATGTCTCTTTCTTTTCCAGCTTCTATTTCCACTCCGCTTTGGTCGCTGTCCAAACTTCCAGAGGGACTCGACTGCTGCCAAAATGCAGAGTGCTATTTCCACATCTCCATCCCACACTGCAAAGGGTCATGGGAGACCCCCGCTTTCCCCGCCTGTCAGTTGATGTGGCCTGGCTCAGAAACTTGCCATTACAGCTCCTGGCTCCAGAGAGTGTATCTATTTTCTATCAATCACACACAGATCTATAGCAAACGATCTGTGAATTTGATTCAAACTGTAGGTTGTTTAATGAGAATAAATATGGAAAGCATTAGAGCGAACAGTCTTTTAACAAATCATGTTTTAAAATATAACCTACATACCCTGACAACTGCATGGCAACGTCCTAGCAACCACTTGAAACACCCTAGCAACTCCCTAGCAACCATTTAGAACATGCATAGAAAATCCTGGAAAAGATGGGAACATGCAATGGTGAGTTTCGCATTGGCAAACACCGCTCATATTCTCTTCAGAAAATATCATCTTTTTTTTTTTTCAAAGTGACCGTTATGGAAGCATGCAGAGGCTGGACACTTTCCAGAAGTCAGCCTAATGCATCCCTTCACAGGCTGTGAGCTTGAAAATAAAAGCTGTTGACAAAATAATGAAGCCATAAAAATATGAATAAACAGTAATAGAACATAAACATTTGTGGTGTAGGACTAATTTACTTGTTCACAAGGGTAAACAGACATTGTGTCATGTCAAAAATTTCCGTGTGAGCCAGGGTTGATTGATCCCTAAATATATTCAAATATCAAATTGTGTAAATCTTTTTGTGCATAATGCTTGACCAAAAGAAGTTTGAAATTCTAAAACAATAGATGCAGTGTTGACAATGAAGACAGACAGTATTGTGTGACTTGTGTTTGTTTGTGGTTTCTGACTTCAAAAATCATGAAGAAAAGTGAAGTTGAAAAGAAAAGATCCTGGAGCATTTGAGAACAGATGAGACTTTGACATTTTGTTCTCTAGTGTAATGACATTCAGTGTGATTGAAGAGAACAAATAGTTTTGGATGGCTCTGCATGTGTCTGGAGGTTGTCAAAGGGATTCTCTCGCGCCCTCTTGTGGCCAATTAAAGGTAATTTTATTCATTTTAAAATTTGGCCTTTTTTATTCCTTCAGTCATTCTCAGATTTCCAAAGTTCAAGATTTACATTTCTGTACAGCACTTGCATTGCAAAGGGATGGATAAGACATGTTTATTTGTTAAAAGTATGATAAAACAAACATCACAGTCCAAAGCGCGCGCACACACACACACACACACACACACACACACAGAGAGAGAGATAGAGAGAGAGAGAGAGGGAGAGAGAGCTGTTTACATTCTCTTTGCATAAGATATGTAATAAACATTTCCATTTTTAGTACTGCATTAATGGAGCTAATTGATGTATGAACATGTATTTTGCCTATTTAATTTTCCTTTCAAACAATGCAAAATATAGGCTTCAAAATAAGAGTTATTCAAGACATAAAAAGAGAAGCTGAGCAGCAGCAAAGACAAATACAAACAAATATATAATATAATATAATAAATGTAATATAATATAATGTAATAGGGGAAAAAAAGACTCACTTAATTGAACTCTTTGTCTCACTATAATGAAAAAACTTAAATAAATGGTAAACTTTAGCACAATTCAATGTTAAGGAATCAAGGCCAACCGAAATTATTTTGTTATCATTTACTATATTATTTAACTACTGTACATTTGAATAATGATTGATAATTCCCGGGTTTTTTTTATTAAAGAACTTGTGAACATTAAAAACATTACAAAAACAAAGGCATGAAGTCTAAAGCTCCAAAGATATAATATATGGTGTGTGTGTGTGTGTGTGTGTGTGTGTGTGTGTGTCTGTGTGTGTGTGTGTGTGTGTGTGTGTGTGTGTGTGTGTGTGTGTGTGCGCACGTGGTATTCATCATTACGGTCGCACTTATTTTGCAATGACGTTATTGCATTCGTCTAGACTCCGCCCACTTCGACTTTACCCGCGTTCCGCAGCCAACGGTATGATCAGCAGCTGAATTATATGTGCGTTACGATGACTGACAGCCCAACGCACCAACCACATCAATCATTTAATCTAATTCACAAGCGTTAGCCAATCAGCGGCGCAGAGACGGCGCGTTGGGAGCCAATCACTTCCCTCCGTTCATGTCGTCCGGTGTCAGAGGTCGCTTCCCCTGCCGGCTTTCATTCGCTCGTCTCTCTTTCTGAATCCAGCAGCGATGGCGGAGCAGCAGCAGTTCTACCTCTTACTGAGCAACCTGATGAACCCTGACAACACCGTCAGGAAGCAATCCGAGGTATGGAAGTCGGGTCGGGACCGCTTTGTGTGGATATATGTCGGGAAATCTCGGCTCGCAGTTTTAGCGCGGGCCGCTTAGCCTCGCTCTGGCCCAGCACATGTGTGAAGCGCGCGCTGCTGCTATGCGGCTCCGAATCTTTTCAGAGAGTCGATTCGCTTCAGCGAACCCACTCCAGAAACAAATTCCTCTGTTCTTTTGAGTCATCGCACAAAATTGCTCGTCGTGTGGCTCTTTGCTTTTCTTTTGTGGTGTATACAATTTTTCGATTAACTTATGCGTTGTGATATTTATTTTTCTTATGTGGATTAAATGACTTTTATTTGATTCCAATATGTTTGGTTAGATTTTAAAGGTTAATTTGAGACTGTGACTATGGACCAAATTGTTATCGTTTCTAGTAATATTGACGTTATTCGCTCTGTACGCTATCGGATTTACAAAGACTGAATTCGGTTTAGCTTACACTCATATTAATCTTACTATATCTGTCTTACAGGGATTGCAGGCGTAATACGAAAGAGATGCAATTTCGAAATCAATCAAACCCTCAGTTCGACCGAATCATTTAAAGGAATCGATTCAAATGAGCGAATCGGACATCACTGTTGTGCGTTGCGTATCAACGTGGCCTAACCAGCATTACAAACGTGTATTACGTTTTTGTGTACCGTCTCGGTTAAAACGCTTATAAGTCAGTCGTTTTCCTAATTTAGTCTTTTAACGTCGTCTTTCTTGTTTTTGCGTCATTATTCGAGCCGCGGCTCCTGTGACGCTGCGAACCGGCGCTGGTGACGCTCAGATCGGCTTGAGCTGCCCAAACCGGTCGTTAAATCGGTATTTCAGCCAAACTCGTTTTAAACAAGTCGCATTTGCGTCTTATTTTCCGAGAACTATCAGTCAAAGTTACGAACGCTGACCACACAAATAAAATCGCAATCTGTTTGTACTTTGTATGCGTTTTACCTGATTTTTATCTCCCCCTCGACAAGCAACACGATAATCAAACAACATTTCTTAGAAGAATGATGAATATTTAAAAACTCTTTATCGTCGCTATTGTGGCGAGTCTTGTTTCACTCATTAAACAGTAACTTTACACCCATCTTCACGCCATGAGATGAGCTTATCACAAAAGATGGCCATTCATACTGTCATGTTATGGAAACACTTTGGATTTGGGTCAGGGATGCGAATTCAAGCGCATAGGCCTTTTTAAGTTTCTCGTTATATTAAATACGCGCTTATAAACCCACTTTTGCATGGAAGGTCACCAGCGTCCCAGATTTCGCGGCAAATTCGAATTTTCCCCCCAGAACCTGGCTCCCCATTGGCACGTGTTCAGACTAGTCTTTTGTTAGGCGCTTCTTTATCCGTGGGGAGTTCAAACCTGAGCTCATGTGGATCAGGATGGGTCATTGGGTCTTATCGCTCATCTCTGCCGTCGGTCAGCACTTTCCTTTAGCGCAGACAATGCTTGACCAGCGAGCCGCTAATGCCGAGCGGAAACGGACTCAGACGCTCACGGCGTGACAAGGGCCAACTGGCCCCCAGAAATCAGCTGTGATGTCACTTATGTCTGGCAGTCCTATGAAATTATTTTCCGAAAGCTTTGAGGTGTGCAAATTCCTTGTTTCGGTTACACATTCCCATTGCACCGTTCATTCCAGACATTCTGCGCATAACCACGTCCATTTGTCACTTGTAAACTGACTCTAAGAATCAGTTTGACTCATGCAAACTGAACATCTTAAGAGGCTTAGTTGGTCTCTTTCCTCCTCCTGGATGAACAGAATGAACTTATTTTGCTTTTAAAGCTGTAATCTTTCCTTTGCAAAAACATTTGAAGCTTAGGTGTCTTTTTGCGGGTCCTTATTCCACAAATAAGGCCTTAAAAGTCTGAAATTCGAGTAGGCCATTAAATGATGGATGCATCTCAAAAAACTAATGCCTTCCTCAGTGTTTTTGTTTTCCAATATGAATATCTAAGCATCCTCAAATCAAGATGCATTTGCTTGAGATGCAAATATAATATGAAGTCTTGGAAAAACTGAACAATTAGGTTTATGCTTAAAACGAGAACAAATATCGGACACTTGAGGAATGAGAATGTTTCCATTTGAATTAAGTTGATTGGAAAATATTTGTTCTTGTTTTCTGTGGAATTTATCTGTGGGCTTTTTTGCATCTTAAGTAAATGTACTCATTTTTAAGAATCTTTAGAAATTTGCACTGGAAAACAAGACAAATATTGAGCAGGAACTTCACTTTTTTTGCAACTCCCTAGTCACAATCTCAAATTAATCTTTAAAGTCTAACCAAACATATTGGAATCAATTAAGAGTCAAATCCAAATAAGAAATTGTCATTTGGAACAATACACCACAATAGTGCCACACATCCAGCAATTTTCTGTGATGACTCAAAAGAACAAAGTTATTTGTAAAAGTTATTTCTACTGGTATTCAAGCCTTAAGTGTGTGTGTGTGTGAAGTAAATTAAAAAGTAATGGAGATTGGTTTGAGATTCCTAAACTTGAAATGTTGCTAATGCAACTTTTACAAATATAATACAACAATTTCCTCACCCTCATGTTATTCCAAACCTGTATGAATTATTTTCTTCTGATATTTTGAAGAATGTTGGTAACCAAAAAGTTGCTGGTAGCCATTGATTTCCATAGTAGTAAAAAAATGGCTACTTGCAACTACTTGGTTACCAACATTCTTTAAAATGTTGTTGTTTGTCTTCAATAGAGGAAAGAAACACATACAGGTTTGGAACAACATGAGGGTGGGTAAATGATGATGATTTTCATTTTTGGGTGAACTATGCCTTTAAGAAAACACTGTTGATTCCTTGTATTCGGTCTTAAAAAGGTCTTACAACCGTCTATATGTATAAACTGTAATGGCGCTTATTAACTTCTTCATTTGTTCTTGTAGGAAACGTATGACACCATCCCCGGTCAGACGAAGATCTCATTTTTACTGCAGGCTATCCGTGATGCGTCCGCTGCCGAGGAGGTACATGAGTCTGTTTACTGTCATCAGAGCTGTAATATTTATTCCAGGCATCCATTTAGACTCTTTAGTCTTTAAACAGTATAAATGGCAGAAAGTGCTTTGTTTACACCGTCCATTATGCCTCCTCATGCCTGCTCTCTCAGGGTCAGATGGTGTGATGTTGTCTTGAGGTCGTCGAGATGTTGTTAGTAGTTAAGTAACACCGTTGTGCTGACCGTGAGTGGGCGAGGTTAAATGGAGAGACTGGTGTTCTTCAGACTGGACCTTGTTTACGCTTGTTGACTTCGTTTCCTGGAAAAACTGATTGCTCAAGATGAGACCCGCAACTTATTCAGACTAACCTGCGACGGTTCAGAGCCTGAGTTATAGTTGAGGTTTTGACTTTACAAGAGCAGGCTTGCACAGCACACTTAACCCTCGGTAAACCTCTTTTAAACCCAGTGTGGTAACTATTGTTTCACAATTTGTAGTCTAGTTTATTTTTTTTTTTTTTTTTTTTTTTTTTAACTATTGTTTCACAATTTGTAGTCTAGTTTATTTTATTTATTTTATTTTTTTTTTTAAGGGCTGCATTTTTTATTATTTAAATCAATTAAAGGCTGAGATTTAATTAAATATGCACTGTGTTTCAGAGGGAAGCGTGTCAACTAGGTATTTTTACTTCAGTTTTGGTTTATTCACAATTAGCAATTTTGTTTTTTCAGCTACTTCAGATTCAATTTTTTTATTCAGTTTTGTCAGTACTTTTAAAATTGTAATAACTGTTAATCACAAATTGCAATTAGATTTTTTCATGCTTTGTCATGTCAGACAAAACATTACACATTTTGTGGATGTTTACTAACCCAGAAAGTCCAAACATTGTGAGAAGTAGAACTAGGCCTGTGTCTTAAAGCAATGTTCAGTTAAAAATGACATTAAATTGTGTAAAGCCCACCTTTAAACATCTTTAGCCATTTTAACCACCGAATGCCAAGATGACAATGTGGTTACTCAAAACATGCCGCCCCATTGTCTAGTTGTCCTCTCAATGCATTTTAAGCCTTTGCTTCACCTACTGTCTCACTTTGGTCTCCTGACCTCAGATATTTATAGATGTGTATAAAGGACATACTATCACAACAAAATTAACAATTCGCCTAACTCTCGCATGGTCTTTAAAACATTTTCCACCCTCCTTTGTCCTCCTCCTCCCCCTCCATCAACTCTAACAGCTGACGACTTTGCCACATTCTTCATTAATAAAATTACTAACCTCAGTGCACAATTTGCCACACCACAAACTGCCAAACACATCTTACCAGCAAACATACAATCGTTTTCATCCTTCTCTCCACTCTCTGAGGCAGAAGTCTCTAAACTCATCCTTTCCAATCATCCTAATACTTGTCAGCTTGATACATTCTTCATTAATAAAATTACAAACCTCAGTGCACAATTTGCCACACCACAATCTGTCAAATACATCTTACCAGCAAACATGCATTCATTTTCATCCTTCTCTCCACTCTCTGAGGCAGAAGTCTCTAAACTCATCCTTTCCAGTCATCCTACAGTCAAAAGTCCTCGTGCATCCTTGTGTTTTCATGGCCTTTAAATGTGACTATTACTAGTTCACTTAGTAAAACAGTTCTTATCCTAGTTGTGTTCTCATAATGCTAATACTTTATATAGCACAGCATAATGCATCATTTTTGTGTGAAATTAACTCCCGCGATGCTCTCTAGAGTTATTTTAGACAGAGTCTCCACCTGGACAGGAAGCTGCAGTCATTAGTCAACCCTGCAGTTGTAAACTTCCTTTTTAATGCTTCATCTGTATCATGTTTTTCTCAAACTTTAAGTCCCACATTTGTGACCCTGGAGCACAAAAGCAGTCTTAAGTCGCTGGGGTATATTTGTAGCAATAGCCAAAAATACATTGTATGGGTCAAAGATTATTGAGCTTTCTTTTATGCCAAAAATCATTAGGATATTAAGTAAAGATCATGTTCCATGAAGATATTTTGTAAATTTCCTACTGTAAATAACTTAATTTTTGATTAGTAATATGCATTGCTAAGAACTTCATTTGGACAACTTTAAAGGTGATTTTCTCAAATTTAGATTTTTAAATAGTTGTATCTCAGCCAAATATTGTCCTATTCTCAATGGAAAGCTTATTTATTCAGCTTTCAGATGTATAAATATCAATTTTGAAAAATTGACCCTTATGACTGGTTTTGTGCTCCAGGGTCACATTTGAACCTGTGACTTTATTTGCAAAGCATGTCCCTACAGTTGTGTAAAGCTCTCTCAAATGCGTCTCCACAGGTTAAGCAGATGGCAGCCGTGCTGCTGCGGCGCCTGCTGTCCTCGTCTTTCGAGGAGGTCTATCCCAGCCTGGCCATCGACGTGCAGACGGCCATCAGGACAGAGCTGCTCGCTGGAATCCAGTCCGAAGGCTCCTCCAACATCCGCAAGAAGGTCTGCGATATCGCCGCGGAGCTCTCTCGCAATCTCATCGGTGAGTTGACTCTTCTGCTTCGGTTCGGCCGAACCAAATGGTGTCAGTGTGAACTAATGCCTTGTGTTTTTATCCCAAGATGATGACGGCAACAATCAGTGGCCAGAAATCCTCAAGTTCCTGTTTGATTCGGTGAATTCTCAAGACGTCAGCCTCCGAGAAGCAGCGCTGCACATTTTCTGGTGCGTGAAGTTTAAGCTTCTACAGTTTTGGTTACGTACTCAACTGATTCAGAGTTAGTTTGTGATGTGAAATTCTCTTTCTGAACCGTTTCCTCATACAGGAACTTCCCAGGTATCTTTGGCAATCAGCAGCAGCATTACATGGAAGTGATCAAGCGCATGTTGGTTCAGTGTATGCAGGATCAGGAAAACCCACAGGTCAGTGTCTCAAGCTCGTTAGCTTCCCCCGTCACACATTTGATAACCAGATGTTTTTGAAATAATTTCAAAGTAATTCGAAAAATGAAGAGTTTACTGAGAATTTAAGTTGATAATGTGTGTTTACAAATAGGTGTGCTTTTAAGAATGTACACACATACACGTGTGTGTGTGTGTGTATATATATATATTTATAATCTAAAATATTTTTTTCTTTCAGTACAAAATACTAGTTAGATTTCACCACTTTAAATGGCGTATATTGGCCTGATTTATGGTGCTTTTTCCTGTTGTCTTGAAATAGGATATCAAATCATTAGGAGTGAGGAAAACATGTTTTTTTTTATTTTTATTTTTTTTATAAAAAGTACTTAATTTAAAAATGCAGAAATGTTTATATTCAAGGTTGGTAGAATTAAAACAAATCAAGAATCGTTATGAATCATATTGTGAGGAGCCTAAATAATCCCACCTTTACAAATCATCTGACATTTGATTTCCTCACTGGTTGGTTGCAAGTTTGAACTTGCTCTGTTTGTATTTAAGTGTTTTTTTTCCCCCTTTTGTCCCCTCATAGTCTTTAACCCTGATGAAAGCCTTTGAGCCAAAACATGATGCACAATAAAGAACTGGTTTTCTAAGATTCTTTTTTTATTCTTTGTTTCCTCCTCTCCACTTTGTTGGTTTTGTGACTTTGCACCTGAATAAACCTGCCATAGTGACTCATTTTAAACTGCTTTCATTTTCAGATTCGAACCCTGGCTGCGCGTGCGGCTGCGTCCTTCGTCCTGTCCAATGAGAGCAACACAGCTTTGCTGAAACACTTTTCAGACCTTCTTCCCGGCATCCTACAGGTGAAGAGCTCCTCACCACACCTTTGCTCAGTAACTTACACGTCAGCTCTTTTGAATTTGGGCTTTCAGTAACTTTTAATGTTTTATGACTCAGAAAGTGCTAACTAGTTCCCCCTTTATGTGCTTTTGAATATACCCTTTTGCCAAGTTCACAATGGAGAACTGGAAGTGCGTAGGACGGCATGCATATTAACACTTGTATAGTTACCATTGCACACTTAACGAGTTTAATGCACCCTTGTGTTCATCTTCATTATAGTGTCTGCATTCATGCTGTGAGGTAAACTGGAGCATTAAATCAAAGATATTAGTCATAACAATAAATACTGCCAAATCTATAAAAATATGCTGAAGACAGTTGATCAAAAATGTGTAATTTGCACCCGTTTAAGTCTTGCCAGTTTAAACATTCAATCAATTTTAAACCATTCAAGTGCAAGACGTGAAAGTACTCAACATTTCCAGATTGAGTCCTGTTTCGTGTCATCTTGGCGAGTATCCTCGTAAACAGTTGGGGGGGAAAAAAAATCAGAAACGGAATAAATATTGAATCTGTGCATTAGGTCTTAAAGTGACAGCAGCCTAATATACCTGCTGCTGTCTGTCAGTTAATCCGTTAACAAAGGAGAATCACTCACTGTTCTTGACTAAACTGTTGTAGCTCGAATGATATAATTTATACAGACTAAGCAGTGTTTTTACTTTTCGTCCCTTTATTCAATTTCTGTACCTAAATACTACTGTTAGACCTACCTGTTTTCTAACTTAAACCAATGTTTCTTTAATTTGTGTCTTTGTGTAATTTGTAAATTATTACTGACTTTAATGTTCGGACTTTATATAAGTTAGGCTAGTTAGTTTTGCTGTGGAATCAAGAATTGTGAACAACCTTATCTATTTGCATGTATAATTATGGGTCAAAACAACAAAAACAATGAGGCTGTGTTTTTTTTTTTTGTTTGTTTGTTTTTGGCAAGGAAAGTGAAAAATCTGAACAACTGTAGAAAAAATCCTTAGTGTTGAGCCCTGCAAAAAAAAAAAAAGTGCACTACAAGAATCTTTCTTTCTCCAAACAGGCAGTGAATGAATCCTGTTACCGTGGTGACGACTCTGTGCTGAAGTCATTGGTGGAGATTGCAGACACGGCCCCCAAATACCTAAGACCAAACCTGGAAGCCACTCTCCAGCTGAGCCTAAAGGTGAGCAGACATGGAAACTGGTTGTAACTGGCTGCATTTATTTGATCAAAATATACAGTAAAAAAATTGTGAAATTACAATTGATTTCTGTGATCAAAGTTGAGTTTTCAGCATCATTACTCCGGCCTTCAGGGTCACATGATCCTTCAGAAATCATTCTGATATGCTGATTGATTTATTGTAACAATATGTACTACTGTTCAAAAGTTTGGGGACTGCATTTTTGTTTCTTTTTTTTTAATTCAGCAAGGATGTTAAATGTGAAAATCAAGATTATTTATTATATTTCTGATGTTTCTGTTTTACTTTTACATTACGTTTGAATGAATTTGGACTGAATTCTGTTCTTAACTTTTATTCATCAAAGAATCCTGAAAAAAGTATCACAGGTTCCAAAAATATATTGGGCAGCACAACTGTTTTCAATGTTGATGATAATCAGAAATGTTTCTTGAGCAGCAAATCGGCATATTAGAATGATTTGTGACACTGAAGACTGGAGTAATGATGCTGAAAATTCAGCTTTGATCACCGCAATAAATTCACCTAGAAAATGGTTATTTTAAATTGTAATATTTCACAATTTTACTTGTTTTACTGTATTTTTGATTTTAAAAAAAAATGCAGCCTTGATGAGCAGAAGAGACTTCTTTAAAAAAAAAAAAATGTTAAGTCTTACTGATCCATAACCGTGTGTATGTGTAAAAAAAAAAATGCAGCCTTGATGAGCAGAAGAGACTTCTTTAAAAAATAAAAAATGTTAAGTCTTACTGATCCATAACCGTGTGTATGTGTATGCATCTCTTGCATTATTAACCTCTTCAGTTGTGCCTGGTGGTTCCTTGAGGCAGGTCATCTGTGCTGATCCATGAGGTTTTATTTAACAGGCACACATCGATCTCTGCGATTTAATGCTTGGAAGTTGCCATTCCCATGCAGCTTCCACAGCCCGGTTGCAGAAACATGTTATCATGGGTGTGTAAGCACGTTGAGCCTCAAACGAAAACCCTGTACTGCTTTCAAAGTGAGAATGATGCACAAAGACTCACTGTAAACCATGTGACCTTTTTAATAGATCGAGACAAATGCAGAATAACAATCATTATAATCTGATTAAGACCTCGTTTGACTCCAGTTGTGCGCAGACACCAACCTTACAAACATGCAGCGGCAGCTGGCGCTGGAAGTCATCGTCACACTGTCTGAAACCGCTGCTGCAATGCTGAGAAAACACACCAACATCGTTGCTCAGAGCGGTAAGAGAGGGACATTTAACGCTCCGTACGTTACAATACTAATTACCAGAGTCAAAGCTAATGAAAGTGAAACTTGTCAAGCTTAAAGCTGCACAAAGTGCACCGTACCATGCAACTTAACATGCATTTTGACATTTTGCATTAGTGTTTTGTCAAGTGAAAAAATTATTGCAGTTCAGAAGCAATTGGTCCGTTGTCACACTTCAGAAAAATGAAGCTGATTGCAATGCTAATTAGTTACTCTCCCAACACTTAATTATTTGCCAAATAGTAGTTTAATAATGTTTGCTCTTTATATGTTTAGTACCTCAGATGTTGAGTATGATGGTGGATCTGGAGGAGGATGAGGAGTGGGCCATGGCTGATGAACTAGAAGATGATGATTTTGACAGGTGAGATTAATATTTGCATCACAAAAAGTACAGTAATGCTGTTTTGGGGGGCAGCAGACAATTGTTTGCTCATGCTAAATATATAACCACAGTTTAGCCGCAATTGACCTATCCTAGTATTCATGGTCACTGGGTAATTGGCATACTAGTAATTTTCCAGTTACTAAAAAGTTTGTTTCGGCAGCTCGCTAGGATTTGATCTCTGTGGAATTTTGTGGATTTTAAGACCTGTGTACAAATTGATGCTTTGAAAAGGAGCTGAAAGTCCTAAATTCATAAAGTCATGGCAGTAAATTTAGCATGCACTGCAAAAAATGAATATCTTCCTCTCTAATTTTTTCTTGTTTTACAATTAGGGCTGGACGATATGGCCAAAATTGATATCACGATATATTTCTTAATTTCGGTCGATACGATATAATTCCGATATCGATATGAACACTATTTATCTGAAATATAAATCTTTTGTAACATTATAAATGCCTTTATCATCACTTTTGATCAATTTTAAGCATCCTTGCTAAATAAAAGTATTAATTTCTATAATTTCTTTCCCAAAAAAATAATAAAAATTATACTGAATGGAATAGTGTATAATGTTACAAAAGCTTTTTATGTGCAGCATAAATACATGTAACTGTATGACAGCTACTGTATTAAGGGTTACAGTAATTTATTTTTATTGTTTATTACATATAGTAGTTGATTAATGTAAATTACAACTATATTAGTAGTGGTTGTAGTAGATGTACTAGTAAATTTAAATAAATATTACTAATAATGGTCAAAATAACGTTATAGTAGTAGCAGTAAATATAAATGAATATTACTATGATATAATGTAGTGATTAAAATAAGCAATAACTTTTATTAATGTTATAGGATATAATATTGAAAATTATTACTTACTGTAAAAACATGATGACATTAGTTAAAAAATAGTAATTATGTAAATTACTACTAAAGTGATAGTAAACAGCAGTTGTAATGATTTAAATCATTGTTACTTATTAACAATAATAGTGATGAAGATTTGTTGTTGTTGTTATTATTAGTGTTATACAAGACAGAAATTACTAAATTAGAACTACTGTAAATAAGTTAATAATAAATTTAAATAAATCAGTGTTAAGTAATTACAGTAGTAGTAATAAAAACAACAGTTGTTATTTTTTTTATTATAACTATGTATATTATTATTATTATTATTATTATTATTATTATTATTATTATTATTATTATTATTATTATTATTATTATTATTATTATTGGTTACAATATAATTGATTAATACAAATTACTACTACCGCGACTAAAAATAATAAACAGTAGTTGTAATTTAAATCAATGTTACTAATTAACAATAATAGTGATGGAGATTTATTATTATTATTACTGGCTATAAAATACAGTAATTGCTAAATTACAACTTCTGTAAATAAGTTAATACATTTAAATAAATCCGTGTTATTACCAAGTAATTACAGTAGTAGTAATAAAAACATCAGTTGTTGTTATTATTTTAACTATGTATATTATTATTGGTTAAAAATAATGTAAATGTAATTTTAATTAATTAAATGTAATTTAAATCTATGTTACTAATTAACAATAATAGTGACTGATTTATTATTGTTATTAGTGGTTATAAAATATGGTAATTGATAAATTACAACTACTGTAAACGAGTTAATACATTTAAATGAATCAGTATTTTGTAATAGTAGTAAAAGTGATAAACGGATATTAAGACTAGAATTATATTATAATATTTAATAGTAATAATAACAGTATTATTAATAGTTGTAGTTAAATATTGATTTTATTTAAATTACGGCTTAAATTTTATTTTTAAACATAAAATGAACTGTGCCAGTCCTGTTTGGTTGAGTTGTCCCCTTAAAGTATTGTTTTCTCATTGCTCTCTGTATCTGCAGGTGATCTCGGCGCTCTTGCAGACCATGGAGGACCAGTCGAACCCTCGCGTCCAGGCCCACGCCGCCGCTGCGCTCATTAACTTCACCGAGGACTGTCCCAAAACCCTGCTCATCCCCTATCTGGACAGCCTCGTCCAGCACCTGCACGTCATCATGGTGGCCAAACTCCAGGAGGTGCGTCCCGTCTCTTTCGTTTATTGGATCGTTTATAGGGAGTTTGTATCCCGAGCTGCTCCTTTAATGAGTTTAAGTCAGCAATTACACTTAAGACTGGTTTTGTGGTCCAGGGTCACACATGGTGTGACGGTGTGAAGTCTTCTCATGCTTGCGGTGTTTGACGCTGTCTGTTTTATGGCAGTGAGTCGGTGCTTTAATGTTGGGTTTGACTCTTCCAGCTGATCCAGAAAGGCACTAAACTGGTGCTAGAGCAGGTTGTGACGTCCATCGCCTCAGTGGCTGATACTGCAGAGGAGAAGTTTGTGCCGTACTATGATCTGTTCATGCCCTCCCTCAAACACATCGTGGAGAACGCCGTTCAGAAGGAGCTTCGCCTGCTCCGAGGAAAGACCATCGAGTGCATCAGCCTCATCGGCCTGGCTGTGGGCAAAGAGAAGGTGCGTCTTAAGGGAGATGGGTCGTGGAAAAACTTTTTTTTTTTTTGTAGTATTTTTAGTTTAATTGTTTTGTACATGTTTTGTATTTAGATTTTTAAAAAATATATATTTAAATGAATATTTAATCTAATATATTGTTATTTATTTTTATTTTAATCTTTCTAATTTTCTTTATTTTAATCTAATTTTATTTAAATGTAAACTTTCTTGATTTTCATTTTTACTTATAAGTAAAAAAAAATATTGAATCAAATAAAGAGATAAAAATAAGTGAAATAATAAACGTATTCATTTATTTCGATTAGACTTGTGCCGGTATTCGGTAATGCGATATATCACGGTAATGAATATGCACGATATTGTTATCGTGGGATTAATTTAAACATTAAATGTGATGCATTCACTTGTCAATCGACACGCCTGTGCCAACTACTCTTTTGAATGGAAGAATTGCAGATCATAAAGGTTTTTTTTTGTTTGTTTGTTTTTTAAGCAGTCTATTTTATTATTAATTATTTACACTATTTTATTGCTTTTAAGTTTATTTGAATCTAAATATTTTAGTGAACTTATTTGAATAAACCCAATTTATTTTTTTTATATTTTCTTGACTTATTTTTATCTAATTAATTTTTTTATTAATCTTTATTTTAATTGATCCTTTTAAGTAAAATAAATAATAGATCAAAAGTCATGAATCCATTTTTGTCTGTTTATTTATACCTTGACAAGTGAATTTATCTGGCTTAAGCGGACTATACTTTCGAATGGAAAAATTGAAGATCCTGAAAACATTGCATCAATTTTTTTTATTTTAAACTTAGTCCATTTTATTATTTACACTTACTTAAAGCTAATCACATTCATCAATTTTATTTAATTTACTTTATCTGCTTATTTAAACCTTGACAAACGAATACATCCCATTTAAATCATTTCGCTTATGCCAACTACCCGCTCTTTTCACCTGTGTGATTGCATCTGAACAATATGTTTGGTTGTGTAAACGCCTAACTTGTATCCAACCCTTTTGCGTGGTTTCTCTTGTAGTTCATGCCGGATGCTTCAGCTGTGATGCAGCTCCTTCTGAAGACACAGACTGATTTCAATGATCTGGAGGATGATGATCCACAGGTCAGCAAACACCAGCCGAGCACATCATGGAGCCTGATCTCAAAACTAGACTTAGTCTTGTGTGTTTGAGCTGCTGTCTTGTGCCTGCAGATCTCCTACATGATCTCGGCCTGGGCGCGCATGTGTAAGATCCTGGGCAAGGAGTTCCAGCAGTACCTGCCTGTGGTGATGGGCCCGCTGATGAAGACGGCCTCCATCAAACCTGAAGTGGCCCTGCTTGATAGTGAGCTGTCTGCACAAGCTGTGTTTTTAGGCATCATAGACACTCTTACGGTTTAAATCCATGTATCGGTGTATAAGAAAAATATTGTACTTTTAAAAAAAAAAAATTTTTTTTTTTATTCAGACTTTCACTTAATGCTATTGTAATTGTAAATATTTTTTCTATATCTTAACCAATAATAATACGATTTACAACTACTGTAGTAATATTAATCATTCTGATAAGACAATCTATAATATAACTATTGTTATTATTTAGGGTTATAAAATATAGAAGTATTGCTTTAAATTTACAACTACTGTAGTAATTAGTAACATGATAAAAGACAATTTTAATAAATCAATTTTACTTTATAGTCTATAAAAATATCTATATTATTATTATTAATGTTTTAAAATATAATTAAATTTATAATAGTAAATAAATGACTGATAAAACAGTTGTATTTTAAAAATCACCATTACTATATTTTATCAACCGTTTTGAAATATAGAAATATTGATTTACATTTACAACTACATTATTGTTATTGGTACGTGATAAAGTAGTTGTAGTAATTTAAGTAAATCAGTATTACTATATTTTGACATTTTAAATGTAATAATAGTAATTCTACATATTATCATTAATAAAGTAATACATTTCTTAGTAAAAAAAAAATGTTTTTATATAAAATCTTTTTAATTGGCTGTAGTAGTTAAATAATACTGATTTATTTAAATTGCTGTTGGTGGTGGTGTTGCATTTTCATTCAATCTATTTATTATAGATAATAGTATTGAACCCAAAACGTTTCGTCAGACTTCCGCTTAATGCTATTTTAATATAGTGTTAGATTAGTAGCTTTTGGACTTTGGCGTAACTCTTTTTGTTCTGACTCGTACAGCTCAGGACATGGAGAACATGTCTGAAGATGATGGTTGGGAGTTTGTGAATCTCGGAGACCAGCAGAGTTTTGGCATAAAGACTGCAGGACTGGAGGAGAAAGCAACTGCGTGCCAGATGCTGGTGAGAAGACGATCCATCCAGCCAATCCATATGATTAAACCAGAGTTCAGAATGAACACTTACTGAATAACTGAGCCACCAGAACGAACGGTTGAGGAACAAATTTATGTTTTTGGCAGGTTTTGTTTTCCATAGAGTCTGGAAATGTAACAACCACTACATTTCCTTACTCAAAATGTATTTAAACAAAATAATGCATTAAAAAAATAGATGTAAATGTATACATTTTAATGAAATGATGCATGAAAAATAATGCAGTTCTGTGGTTAGAAATGTTCTTAATTCATCTGCTGCTAACATTTCTGGCAGAAAGTCAATTTTGTGCCCAGTAACTAACCAAATTTCTGACGTTGAAAAAAAAAAGGTTGTTGAATTTCTAGGGTGGTATTTAATTTAGTCCGTGTTTTTCCTCAGGTGTGCTATGCTAAAGAGCTGAAGGAAGGGTTCGTCGAGTACACGGAGCAAGTCGTCAAGCTGATGGTTCCTCTGCTGAAGTTCTACTTCCATGATGATATCCTTCATGAGATTTCAGTTTCTTATCTGCATCTTGCAGTGTAACGGTCCAAAATTGTTTTCTTTACTGCTGACATCTAGAGTGCAGGATGGGTTTATTATCGTTTAACTCGAAGTGCTAAAACAACTAAAACCGAAATAAAATGGAGAACTACGAATAAAAATAAACTAATAAAAATGACAAATGCACAACAAAATTACTAAAACTGAAAAAAAAAATTTTTTTTTATTGCTGTCAGTTTAATTTAACTTGGTTTTAGTCAATTTGTTGTTTGTAATTATTTTTTTAAATGTCTATATAGTTCTTGTCTATGTAGTTAAAACTATTTTTATTTGATCAGTTCACGTATATATTTCCAAGGCACCATTTCTCATTTTCTTTTAGTTTAACTTGAAGTACTAAAATAACAAAAAATAAAATTAGATGCATTAAAAAATTTTTTTTTTATAAAATATAAATATAATGCATTTAGACTGTTTAGCGTTCGCAAATAAGAAATACACAATTTTACACTTGATTCACTTTCAGAAATATAAAAACTGGAAATATGTATTTTTAAGTTTGTCTATAGCTATATATTTTTTCAGTTTTAGTCATTTTAGTACATTAACTTTTTTGTTTTGCAACTTATTTTTCCAAGTAATGATTTTTTGTTTTGTTTCCCTCTAACTCTAGCACTCTCTATTCTAATTCTATTCTTTATAAAAAAACAAAAAAACTTACCCCTTTTAGACTTGCGCACTATTTGTTTACTAACTGCTTTTTTTCTTAAAAAAAAAAAAAAAACTTTGCTTTTCTAATCTTTTTGCATTCTATCTATTTGTTTTCTTTTTATTTATTGTACAATTATAATTCTGACTTCTGATTAACAAAAGCAAATAAGGCCTCTTAACACTAGCTTGCTCTATTCTTTTTCTATTCTGTTTTTTTAATTATATGATTTAAAAATAAAACCTTGCTACGTGTACTGCGTTAAGCTAACTGAGACTTGTTATAGCACTTGCATATTATTGCTCTTTTGTTAATTTTGATTGCTTCCACTGTCCTCATTTATAAGTTGCTTTGGATAATAGCGTCTGCTAAATGACTAAATGTAAATGTAAATGTTTTTTGTTAACTGCAATAAGCCTGATGGTTCTAAGTTTCTCCAGTTTAAAACTCTTGTTCAGAGATGGTTGTTCACGCACCTGAGACTCTGTTAGCATCCTTAACGTGTGTTTCACGTGTGCGTGTGGCGGCGGCCGAGTCCATGCCTCTCCTGCTGGAGTGCGCTCGCGTCCGAGGCCCAGAATACCTCACGCAGATGTGGCACTTCATGTGTGACGCCCTCATCAAATCCATCGGCACCGAACCAGACTCGGACGTGCTGTCAGAAATCATGCACTCGTTTGCCAAGGTAAGTCACATGTTCAAATGCTGTTTGTTCACCAGTGTTTGTGTTTGTTTTAATAAGTGAATGTCTTCTCATTAGTGCATCGAGCTGATGGGAGACGGATGCTTGAACAACGAGCACTTTGAGGAGCTGGGTGGCATTATGAAAGGCAAACTAGAGGAGCACTTTAAAAACCAGGAGGTCAGACAAGGTGAGTCGCACAGGAATTAAGCACTCGCAGAGGCTGTTTATTTGATAAAAATACAGTAAAAAAAAAAAAGTGAAATTACAATTTAAAATAGCTGTTTTCTGTGTGAATACATGTTAAAATGTAATTTATTTCTGTGATCAAAGCTGAATTTTCAGCATCATTACTCCAGTCTTCAGTGTCACATGATCTTCAGAAATCATTCTAATATGCTGATTTGCTGCTCAAGAAACATTTCTGATTTGACTGTTGTGCTGCTGAAGATTTTTGTTGAAAATGATACATTTTTATATTTCAGGTTTCTTTGATTCTAGAAAGTTCAAAAGAACAGTGATTATTTGAAATAGTAAAGAAACTTATGTTGCAAAATATTTCTGTCACTTTTGATCAATTTAGTGCGTCCTTGATGAATAAAATTAATTTTTCAAAAACCAATCTTACCGGGGAAGAAATGTCCAATGTTTTCTTTTCTCTGGATTCATTCTTTCGTTTCCTTTTTTTTTTTTTTTTGATTTCTCAGTTTTCGTTTTTATGGATTTTTTTTTCTCTCAGTTTTGACTTTTCAAAAAAAGTTTTTAGGCCCCTGTAAAATCCTTTTTTTCCCCCCCCTTTCTCTCTCTCAAATTTATTTTTTTCTGGATTATATTTTTTAATGATTAGATTTAAATTTTAGAAACCAGAAAGTGTATCTAATTGAAATTATGAAACTTAAAACAAACTTCTATATAAAAAAATAGACCCCCATAAACCCCTTAAAGTCTAATTAATTGAAATCATGAAACTTGCACAATTTCACAATACAGCCTCTGACTAATGATGGCTTGCAAAAAGATGATTTGCTGTATTTGCTATGTGCTGTAATTTTTAGAATTTTCGGAAGATGAAAGGATTAAACCATTTTGATTGGCTAATGGAATGCCAATTGATAGTGCCAATTGGAATGCCAATTTGATAATATTTTCCACTTAAATATGATCAAAATTCGAATATTATCATTATCAGCCAATTGCAATCTTTAAGGCCTAATTTCTGGTGTTTTGATATGTCTACGTGACATAAATTTTCATATGGATAGTCATACAGGTTTGTGAAGTTTTACTAATTGTATCTGTTCTCCGCAGCCAAACGACAAGATGAAGACTATGATGAGCAGGTTGAGGAGACGTTACAAGACGAGGTGCGCCGCTAATCTAACATGCGTTTTTTCGAAGCAATTCATTGGTTTAGATCACTAATGAAGCGCCTCTTGATCTGTATGTTCAGGATGACAATGACGTCTACATCCTGACCAAGGTTTCGGACATCCTGCACTCCATCTTTAGCAGCTACAGAGAGAAGGTTCTCCCGTGGTTATTTTTTTTTATTATATAGAATTCCAGGCTCCACAAAACTGCTCGTCCCCACAGCCATGTACAGAGAGAAAGTGCTTTATTTTGAGATCAAAAACAGGTTTTTCTTCCATTTTAAAATACGATCATGTATTCATAACTATCAAATATATGATGTAAATGGCATAAAACTTTTCATATGGATAGTCATACAGGTTTGTGAAGTTTTACTAATTGTATCTGTTCTCCGCAGCCAAACGACAAGATGAAGACTATGATGAGCAGGTTGAGGAGACGTTACAAGACGAGGTGCGCCGCTAATCTAACATGCGTTTTTTCGAAGCAATTCATTGGTTTAGATCACTAATGAAGCGCCTCTTGATCTGTATGTTCAGGATGACAATGACGTCTACATCCTGACCAAGGTTTCGGACATCCTGCACTCCATCTTTAGCAGCTACAGAGAGAAGGTTCTCCCGTGGTTCGAGCAGCTGCTGCAGCTCATCGTCAGTCTGATCGTAAGTCCTCACATCTGCCCTTAAGATGGGTCTTTAAGGGTCATTCTGTGGAAATGTCCATTTTTCTGTCCCTAGCGTTTACGGAAATATTACACTTAAACACTTTAGGGTTACAATTTATATTTTAAAATTAAACCATGTTATTTGAACAATTACACCACCTTGTTATTATATAGAATTCCAGGCTCCACAAAACTGCTCGTCCCCACAGCCATGTACAGAGAGAAAGTGCTTTATTTTGAGATCAAAAACAGGTTTTTCTTCCATTTTAAAATACGATCATGTATTCATAACTATCAAATATATGATGTAAATGGAAAAAAACAAAATGCTGAATAAATATTATAAGGTATATAATGAAAGTAGTGGTCTCCTGGCGTCACGCTTGCGGCGACTGATAATGTATTTTTGTATTTAAAAAAAAAACAAAGCAATTTATAATATATGATTTAGGTACACAACACACGACCAAAATGTTTTAACACAATTGCAATGTGATTTTATACAATAGTAGTTCAATAAACAAGTTCAAATTAAGTGACTTACATTTTAGACACAATATTGGTTGTTTTTGCTCAATTTCGCTGATGAAAATGCTTCCAATCAAAGCCACCGCAGAACTGTTTTGTGTCGCTGAGCAACACAGCAGTTTCGTTACTGAATGAATCTGCGTTTTTGAACGAATCAAGTGAGTCAATGATTCAGTAACCCATTCACAAAGACAGTAGTCACTTGCCTCGTTTCTGAATGAATCAGCCGTTTGAACAAATCTGTTGAATGAAGGACTAAATGACTCACTCATTCAAACTAGGGCTGTCAAAGACTGAAAAACTAAATTCGAATTTTCCACTTAAATATTATCAAAATTCGAATTATATTTGAATTTAAAAGGCATAAGTTAGGGGGAAAAAAAGCTTTTGGCTTCTCTCCTGAGGCCACAAGAGGGCGCATCGAGCAAAATATAAAACCAATCACAAAGAGTAGGCTACTTCATTTAAAAACACGAGATACAGTGGATGGGGAAAACCGCCATAAAGTCTTGAGACATGTTTTTTTAAAAGTTGAACTTACATTAATTTTACATGGCTTTCTAAACATGCGGCTCTCTTGTGCGAGACGCGAGTGCAACGCTGATAGATGCCCCGCTAGAAAATGTGATAAATATGCATTCTGTGTGAACGGCTTGGTTTCATTTTCGCCGTAAACAACATATTCGCCACACTGATGCGCTCGTTTTCTGCTGTATATTGAATGAACAACGTAGCAGCGCCGCATCTAGTGGGTTCAACTGGATAGGCTAACCAAAGCATTAAAATGCAATGACACTTACATTGTCGTCGCATTTCGTGCGCCACTGATAAGACTGCCTGACGGCTGACGCAGACCTAAAATTCGAATGCAACGTTTTTGCATTCGAATGTGGTGTTTTTTTTTTTGTTTTTTTTAATTCGACGAATATTCGAAATTCAAATTTTTTATGACGGGCCTAATTCAAACAGTAATTTGCCGCCACCTACTGGTGTGGTTTCATATTTAAAACTATCATTGCATTTTTCCCAACATTTCTTTAAAGATTTTTAAAAATGTATCTTATAAAATTCTTTATGCATTCGAAATGTTGCGGTGTAAATGCATTTATGGCAGCTCATCTTCATCAAACAGTCTGTGTAAATACATCTAATGCCACTTCAGATGCAGCTTCTGTGTTTCCTGCAGTGCAAAGATGAAGTTTGTTGATACTGATTTCATTTGAATGGTAACAGCTCTACAGTTTCTTTTATTCTAACTGAATTGAAACCGTGTAAGAATTTGATGGGAAAGATGACACATTTAATAAGGTTAGTGAAAAAATTACAATTTAAGAAACATAGTGGGAAATTACATCTGTATTGTTATATACAGCAACTCCTTTTCAGTTAATTGTTATTTCTACCTCTTTTTCTAGTCACAGAGCACTTTATTTTGAGTTGTTTGTGAGAACATCTGTAACTTTGTCCAGATTGGGAATTGTAATTTTTTTTTTATTATGCAAATAATTTATTAAACATGTTTTGCATAAAAAAAAAATAAAAGTATAGATTTTTGTTTGTATATGCTGTCAATTATAGTTTTTAGTAAGAAAATTGGAATCGGCAAAAATCGGCAGATCAGACTAACAAAAACAATCGGAATCGGCCAAGAAAATTACAATCGGTGCATCTCTAGTTACCGTTAAACAAAAATCGTTTCTTTTGAAATAAAAATCACGCTGATGACATCACTTGGCTTCCTCCTCTCTGTTTCCTGAAGATCTATGAAGAAAGGCCCATGATAAGTCCACTGTCTCTTTTCAGTTATCAGAAATGTTCTAATTTATCTCATGATTTCATATGAAGCTTTTAGTTGAACTCACTGGTATGACCTGCTTTATTTTTAGGGAATTGTAAAAAAAAACTAGAATACAAATGGATTAAACTGAATTTAGTGAGTATACCATGATGGACAACCTGCGGTTTGATGCCTTGCAGCAGCCATTTTATAAAATGCATTTTTCATGAAAATTGTCTCTGGTGTCACCTTCCTTATGGGTTAATAAATGCACACAAAAAAAAAATTCAATTAATAAATCATTAAGCTGTCATTTGTGACCCTGGAGCACAAAAAACAGTCTTAAGTTGCTGGGGTATACTTTTAGCAATAGCCAAAAAAAACATTGGGTCAAAATTGATTTTTCTTTTATGCCAAAAATCATTAGGATATTTAGTAAAGATCATGTTCCATGAAGATATTTTGTTAATTTCCCACCGTAAATATATCAAAACTTAATTTTTGATTAGTAATATGCATTGCTAAGAACTTCATGATTTTCTCAATATTTAGATTTTTTTGCACCCTCAGATTCCAGATTTTCAAATAGTTGCATCTCAGTCAAATATTGTCCTATCCTAACAAACCACACATCAACGGAAAGCTTATTTATTCAGCTTTCAGATGATGTATAAATCTCAATTTCGAAAAATTGACCCTTATATGACTGATTTTGTGGTCCAGGGTCACATTTGTGTATTCGTAAAGTCAAAAGGTAATCTAATTTTGTTAAGTTTAAATGTTAGAAAAATAAATAAATTAAGACGTCTTGCCATACCAAAAGTGGATATTTCTGTAGAATAATAGAATAACAGAGTGTTTATGGTGTTGTGTTCCTGACAGTGTCCTCACAGACCTTGGGCGGACAGACAGTGGGGTCTGTGCATATTCGATGACATCATTGAGCACTGCAGCCCATCTTCCTTCAAATACGCCGAGTACTTCCTGCGGCCCATGATGCAGGCGCTGTGTGACACCAGTCCGGAGGTGCGACAGGCGGCTGCGTACGGCGTCGGAGTCATGGCTCAGTTTGGAGGAGAAAGCTACAGGCCTGCTTTCACAGGTGAGACATCCTCTATGCTTTCCAGCAGAATTGGCATTAGTAGGGCCCTATGAAGTCGGTGGTATTCGTTCCCAAATTCCAGTTTATTTTTTCATTTTCCTGGATTCCGCTTTCCGGGGTTTTTTTTTTTTTTTTCCTAATGGTTAAATTGTAGTAATCAAAAAGCATGTCTAATTTAATCAAATTGACTATGCGGTTTATTAAAAGTTAAGCAAATTACATCTTTAAGGCCCTTTGAAATTAGTTTCTTTTCTTTTCTTTTTTGACATTACATTTTTATTTTTCAAAGTTCATTTTGTTTTCTTTTTTCCTGAATTCTGGTTAATGGTTTTATTTTTAGTAATCACAAAACGCATCCAATTAATTAAACTTTTACAATTGAACAAGTTTAACAATCAAATTTTTAAACCCCTAAGAGTTATTTTTTTTTTATTTGAACATTAGTAATCAAAAAGCATGTGTAATTAATTGAAGTCATGACACGTATAAAATTTAACTAACTTTTTAAAATGTTTATTTTTTCTTATTTTTCTTATTTATTCTTTGGAAATCCTTTACCCCCAAAATTTAGTTTTTTTTTTGTTTTTTTTTGTTTTTGTTTTGTTCTTCTAAGTTTTTTTTTTCTTTTTTGGATTCAGTTTTAATTAAATTAAATTTTAGTTATAAAAAAGCATGTCTAATTAAGTGAAATCATGAAACTTGTTTATGATGCTTGTTGTTTAACAAATTTATTGAAAGTATAATAACTTCACTTTTAGGTCCCTATGTTTTATTTTTGTATTTTTCTGGACTTAATTTTTCATGATTTAATTTTAATCAAAATTGAGATTTTTTTTTTTTTCTTCTGAATTTGCAGTAGGTTTGCACTTGTTTTTTTTTTATTCCAAAATTTGCCAGATGCTACTATGACATTCTGCGTTATTTGTTTTCATTAATTAGTGGATTCCGTGAATTAGTGTTTTTCTGCTTTAGGACATCATAGGTCCCTACATCTTTTTATGTTCTTTCCCATTGTCGTCTTCCAGAGGCCGTCCCGCTTCTTGTGGGTGTGATCCAGTCTCCAGACTCCAGAGCTAAAGAAAACGCCAACGCCACGGAGAACTGCATCTCTGCTGTGGCCAAAGTCATGAAGTACCGCCCAGAGTGCGTCAGCGTCAACGAGATCCTCCCTCACTGGCTGTCCTGGCTGCCACTCAACGAGGATAAAGAGGAAGCTGTCCACACCTTCAACTATCTCTGTGACCTCATCGAAAGGTGCGTGTCTGTCAGCCGACGTGAACTCTGGGAGTCTTGGATGCAGATCTTGAGTTTAATGCTTGTTTCCTCCTACAGTAACAATCCCATCGTTCTTGGACCTGATAATACGAACCTTCCCAAGATTTTCATCATCATCGCTGACGGTGTTGTGAATGAATCGATTAAAGGTGAAGACGGTTGCAGCAAACGATTGGCCAACGTGATTCGTCAAGTACAAGTACGTTTAATGTCATGTGAACAGACTGCTTTATCACATACAGGCAGACCAACACCTGTAGAAAACCTCAGACTGATGCAGAATTGCAAAATTAAAAACGCTTTCTACATAGAATGAGTGACTTGTCTAGTCTATATATTCTTTTTTTAATATATTAACACACAAATGACTTGGTGAATGTTACTGTTTGTAGTTGGTATATTGGTGCTTATAGATTTAAAAATGGCAGCCATGCCTTAATGATTTACAATATAAAATTACATGTTTAACAAATATAAATATCTATATTAATTGAACATCAAAGGGCTGATTTATGCATGTTAACATGTAATTTTAACATTCAGAAATCCTAGCACAGCATTGTTTTAAATTCATGTAGATATTTCTAATTGTTATATTGGTGCCTATAAATATCAAATTGTTTGTCCTTGTTCTTTAATGATCTTGTAAAATACAAATATTCAGTGTCTTAAAATATTCGATGTGTCAATCTAAATATTATTGCAAATTGTAATGTTTTAAAATATTTCATTTAATTTGTCACCCTAGTCGTGTACCGTATATTATTTTTATTTCTTATATTGCATATACAGTATAAGTGTGTAAAATTATAATATTCAAATTTATGCATTTAAATATTGTATGTATTTGCTTTTAAATTTAATTAATTTCAGTTTTCTAGTCATGTAGTTAAATATTTGTATTAAATAGTGTAAATAGTGCAAAAAATTTGTTTCTTTCATATTTATGCATGTTAATATTCTAAAATTCGTCAAGTACAAGTACGTTTAATGTCATGTGAACAGACTGCTTTATCACATACAGGCAGACCAACACCTGTAGAAAACCTCAGACTGATGCAGAATTGCAAAATTAAAAATGCTTTCTACATAGAATGAGTGACTTGTCTAGTCTATATGTATTCTTTTTTTAATATATTAACACATAAATGACTTGGTGATTTACTGTTCGAATTTGTTATATTGGTGCTTATAGATTTAAAAATGGCAGCCATGCCTTAATGATTTACAATATAAAATTGCATGTTTAACAAATATAAATATCTATATAAATTGAACATCAAAGGGCTGATTTATGCATGTTAACATGTAGTTTTTAAATTCATGTAGATATTTCTAATTGTTATATTGGTGCCTATAAATATAAAATTGTTTATCCTTGTTCTTTAATGATCTTGTAAAATACAAATATTCAGTATCTTAAAATATTCGAGGTGTCAATCTAAATATTATTGCAAATTGTAATGTTTTAAAATATTTCATCTAATTTGTCACCCTAGTTGTGTACCGTATATTTTTATTTCTTATATTGCATATACAGTATAAGTGTATAAAATTATAATATTCAAATTTATGCATTTAAATATTGTATTTGCTTTTAAATTTATTTTCAGTTGTCTAGTCATATAGTTAAATATTTGTATTTGATATGTTGATGTATATAAATAGTGTAAATAGTGCAATTTTTTTTCATATTTATGCATATTAATATTCTAAAATGTATTGTATATTTATGCTTTTAAATATTTATATTTGTTGTATTTATGCATATAAATGTTGAATTGTTTATTCTTGTTCTTTAAAGATTTCGTAAAAAAAAATATAAAAAAATCATAGATGCTTTTAAAATATATTGATGATAGTTCCTCTGATTTTAAAGTCCATTTCAGAGCACAGGCAGGATTTTATTTTTTGCTTACAAGTTGACCTGTGCAGAGTTTGCATGTATTTCCGTGTCAAATGTCTGACTGCGCTGCATGGTTTTTCTCTCCAGGTTTCTGGAGGACTCTGGACGCAGTGTGTATCGGCGCTCAACGAGACGCAGCAGAAGGCCATCCAGGACCTCCTGAACACGGCCTGAGTGAACGAGCGAAGCCTTAACCCTGTAAAACAGCCCATCGATTAAGGATTAAAAAATTTGCACCTGGAATTCCACATCTAGATTTTTGGCCCTTTCCCTATTTTGAGTAAACATGTTAACATGTAATTTTAACATTCAGAAATCCTAGCACAGCATTGTTTTAAATTCATGTAGATATTTCTAATTGTTATATTGGTGCCTATAAATATCAAATTGTTTGTCCTTGTTCTTTAATGATCTTGTAAAATACAAATATTCAGTGTCTTAAAATATTCGATGTGTCAATCTAAATATTATTGCAAATTGTAATGTTTTAAAATATTTCATTTAATTTGTCACCCTAGTCGTGTACCGTATATTATTTTTATTTCTTATATTGCATATACAGTATAAGTGTGTAAAATTATAATATTCAAATTTATGCATTTAAATATTGTATGTATTTGCTTTTAAATTTAATTAATTTCAGTTTTCTAGTCATGTAGTTAAATATTTGTATTAAATAGTGTAAATAGTGCAAAAAATTTGTTTCTTTCATATTTATGCATGTTAATATTCTAAAATATTATGTTTATGCTTTTAAATATTTCTATTTGTTATATTTATGCGTATAAATGTTGAATTGTTTATTCTTGTTCTTTAAAGATTTCGTTTAAAAAAAAAAAAATCATAGATGCTTTAAAATATATTGATGATAGTTCCTCTGATTTTAAAGTCAGAGCACAGGCAGGATTTTATTTTTTGCTTACAAGTTGACCTGTGCAGAGTTTGCATGTATTTCCGTGTCAAATGTCTGACTGCGCTGCATGGTTTTTCTCTCCAGGTTTCTGGAGGACTCTGGACGCAGTGTGTATCGGCGCTCAACGAGACGCAGCAGAAGGCCATCCAGGACCTCCTGAACACGGCCTGAGTGAACGAGCGAAGCCTTAACCCTGTAAAACAGCCCATCGATTAAGGATTAAAAAATTTGCACCTGGAATTCCACATCTAGATTTTTGGCCCTTTCCCTATTTTGAGTAAAGAACCGTCATGTGACTTGAGTTTGTGTTGGGCCTCTGAGCCGTCTGGACCCGATCTCTCGAAGTCTTCAACAATGGGGCAGAGGGTCCGGCGAGTGCGTGTGTTTTTCACCTCAAAAAGGGCCAATGGCTTCAGAAACCCTCATCTTGAGCGGACATGGGGGGGTTTTGGGGTATGAAATGAAACAAACAGTCATCCATTGTAGAATTTCTGGTGTAGAAATTGTGCTTTTCTCCCTTCTGAGATCAGTTCTAGTTGTTTTGTCAACTCGTGTGTCTGTCGATCCTTGCCGAAGCTGATTTAGGGCTCGGTCCGACTCTCGGACTGAACGGACTCGTGTTGGTTGAGCTCGAATGCAGTAGAGCGATGATGCAGCGGTCATGTCGTCGACTTTGTTTTCTTTTTAGGTTTTTGTTTTCTTCTCTTCGACGCCGGCGCTGATGTTTGGGAGAAACGGGCACCGGTTTGCTCCACTTTCGCTGATGATGTCTGTGTTGCGGCTTACATTGTCTGTCATTGGCTCACTTAATCCATGCAATGAAATAAACAACATTGGAAAACTGGGACTCTGGGTTCGGGCTTCTGATATTATGAAGGAAATGCACAAATCTGAGGCCGGTTGGCCTAAGAGTTGTCACATGTCCATGGAACATTTGTATGATATGCAATCTTCTCCTGGGTAATCATTTTACAACACTTTCAGTATTAAAGCTGCAAGACATGATGAACTTTGTCAGCGTTTCATTGCGATCTGCATGCTCTCAATATGTGAAACTGGAATCCAGTTGCTTTTGTAAATTGAATTCAGTTCAAATTTAAATGTTCCGTTCCTCAGGTTCTGATTCTGAACTAGTAAACTTTTGATTCCGTAGTTTCGAGTACTCGTTCTTAACCATTGTTTACGAGAGGCTACAGAAAGCAGAAACTAACTTTACGGAAGCTGTTTACATAGTCTTTTATGGTTTTAAAGCAGTAACTGCAGATGAAGTTGATTGGGAGCTTTTATATAACGTTTCTAGTTGGATTGTCACTAACAGTATCAGTGAAATGATGGAGGTTTAAAAGAGCATGAACACGATATCTACTTGGTCAGTTTTTAAATGAGTTCTAGTCAAAACAAACATGCACAGGATGCTAAATTAATTAAATTAAGATGCTGCTGGATTTATCGACTTTTGTCAGCGTGATGCCGAATTTAACTTTTGGCGGGAATTAAAATGAGGCTGTGAAAGGATGAAGTATGTAAGTCCGGTGGATTGTGTTGTTTAATGACTTGTTCAGCTAAGGAAAAAATTACATGATCTAAGGTCGCTCACCGATTTTGTTTTCATTCCCGTTAAATTTTATATGGTGTTTAACCTGATAGTGTTCGAATAATGTCTTGCTGGAGCTGTAAGATCCTTCAAGATTTTAAATTTGTCCTGCTACATGCTCATTGTATCCTGTTATTGTAGTTACAGACAGTGTTGGGTAAGTTACTCTCAAAAAGTAATTAATTACTAGCTACTAATTACATCTTCAGCAGTGTAATTAGATTACTAATTATTGGCTCTAATGGCTCGTTTCCACTGAGCGGTACGGTACAGTACGGTACGCAATTATGTCCGTTTCCATTTTCAGAAGTTGTGAATGGTACCAAAATAGCGAACCACATACCTTTATCTCAAGCGGTGGCAGAATTTAATGAATTAAAGTAGGGACCGTATATTAAACCTATCAAAAATATGGTTTTAGTACTGTATATAAAAACAATAAATGCATAATCGGAAAAAAACCAAAACAAGCCTTGTGCATTATAGGGAATAATATTCTGGATATTTTACAGTTGGTTTTATACCTTTAGATCAAATGGTGTTGTCGTGTAATGGATTTATATTATTGCATACATTAAAAGTTGTAAAATTGTTAAAGTTTTAAAATATTTCATCTAATTTGTCACCCTAGTTGTGTACCGTATATTTTTATTTCTTATATTGCATATACAGTATAAGTGTATAAAATTATAATATTCAAATTTATGCATTTAAATATTGTATTTGCTTTTAAATTTATTTTCAGTTGTCTAGTCATATAGTTAAATATTTGTATTTGATATGTTGATGTATATAAATAGTGTAAATAGTGCAATTTTTTTTCATATTTATGCATATTAATATTCTAAAATGTATTGTATATTTATGCTTTTAAATATTTATATTTGTTGTATTTATGCATATAAATGTTGAATTGTTTATTCTTGTTCTTTAAAGATTTCGTAAAAAAAAATATAAAAAAATCATAGATGCTTTTAAAATATATTGATGATAGTTCCTCTGATTTTAAAGTCCATTTCAGAGCACAGGCAGGATTTTATTTTTTGCTTACAAGTTGACCTGTGCAGAGTTTGCATGTATTTCCGTGTCAAATGTCTGACTGGGTTTTATACCTTTAGATCAAATGGTGTTGTCGTGTAATGGATTTATATTATTGCATACATTAAAAGTTGTAAAATTGTTAAAAAACACAAATGCTAATTCCAAAAACAGCCTTACGCAATAACGTGTTTTTCTGAACGTTTTAGTATTGGTTTTATAGTATAATGTCATGTAGTTAAATTGTTCAATTTATATGGTTAACTTGTATATGTATTTTTTTATTTCTTTTTTTCTATTAAGCCTTGTGCAACGTAAAGAGCATATATTTACATTTATCGGAGTTAGTTTGGGCTCAAAACATAACAGCTGTAAAGAGTTTAATTGGTATGAAATTAATGTCAAACGTCTAACTTTACCGCCGTGTTTTGCTTATCGCGGTTTATCGTCAACCGCTACTTTCCGCTAATCGCTAATTTGGCGGTGGAAACGCAAGCTGGATCAGGGTGTTCGGTCCCGAATTGTACCGCTCGGTGGAAACGAGCCGTAAAAGTATTGCATTATTTGTTACTTTCTAAATCCCATATCAACCTCGACCAGTTGAACAATAAACAGGAAAGAAAATGAAACTGCTCTTTTAAGACTTTAAAATAAATATAAAATTGCATAAATTATTCTTGAACTGACCAAAAAGGAGGTCACATTAAAAATCTACGTTTTAACATGACGTTAAATCCACAATTGTTTTATACAGAATTATTTGATGAAATTACGTAATGTTAACTACATTAGAGAAAGTAATCCCTTAACTTTTTCAAGGAAAAAGTAATTAAATTACAGTAATTATTTAGTAATGTATTAGACCCAACGCTGGTTACAGCTGTACTAGTATTTTGATAGCAATTAAAATTGTATCTATTGGGAACTATGGTAGTCAACATTGGAAGTGGATCAAAAAAGTTCATCAAAGTTGAGACGAAAACATTTTGGTTTCAGGACAACTTTGATAAGTTGATAATTTGATGCACATACACTTCAGATGTTGACTGTATATTGTAGTTTATGTTGGAATCTTTGGACTGATTTCAAATGAATCGATTCTGATTCCTTTAATTAAATGTTATTAGAGAAATCCCGTACTGCATAACATTCCAATAGCAATAACTGATTTTATTTGTTTATTTATTTGAAGGGAAGTGATGCATCCACAGCTTGGTGGCGCTGTTACTCATCACAGTACTTTATAAGACTGTATACATTTAGACTTTGAAGTTCCTGGAAGCTTTTATTTTAATCACTTGTGATTTCCTAGTCCTTGAATTGTAAAAATGTACTGTGGCTTTTTACCATGGTATAGTGAAATGTGGTACATTGGTACCACTTGACTTAAGTTACCATCCCAGATGGTTATAATGTGATACACTCCAATGTTCTTCCAAGAATACTATGGTACTGCATGCCCAAAAACATGGTACATTTTTGAACTTTGGAAGAAATTGCCTCAGGACTTGAGCAGGTGGAGTTTGAATCCACCGCCAGGTGTCGCTGTTCTCATCACGGCATTCGTGAGGCTGTAGTGCTGGTGTTGGAGGCTGGAGGCGGTGTTTTATTGTATGAAATCGGTTTGGGATCAGTTCAGTTATGGCGTCTGGGAAGACGGTGGATTGCAGCGCTTCCCACGAATAACCGCAAACGAACCGACTTAA